CTGCACTTTCATCTTTGTTGGCTGATTAGCCACTTTTGCAAAATGTCAATTCAGTTTATCACTGGGAGACAAGGAGGCAACACAACACCACGCTTTGCTGTCTGTGCATCAACTGAACACAGATGCCCAGTGACCAATCACCCACAGGCTTTGAAAGAAGACATGTGATCAGTTACTGATTGCGATGTGCATCTGTTATTTGTGTAGTGACTTGGAAACTGAAGAGCTAAAAGTGATTTGTCCTTTATGCGCTTTCTCACAGTTGATCTACAGTGGTAACCGCAGTTAGGATTGTGTGGTTGGGGGACTGGTGTTAAATAAACTATGGTAACTGAAATTGCATGTTTTGGGATCTTGCAATGTGAGGAACGCCTGCAGTTTTCCTCTCTCTCCATAGCTCTCTCCTGAGGGCCTGGTAAGGCATGCCAAACCCAGTAGTGTTGGTCCCATGCTAAGGAAGACTAGAGTCCAGCCAGAGACACTGGGCAGGCTTTGTAGCAATACTGTTCTGTTTTCTACTCATGGCTGTGTTCTCTTGACTGGCTAGTTCCTCATCTTATCTACAAAAAAGATATGGGATATCCCATTGTGGTCTCAATAGAAAAGGAGAAATTTGAGACGCTTTGCTTCCTGGCCTCAAGCCTGTTTGTTATGTCAGCAGAAGACTCCCACCTCATGCTCCCATCACATTTACTAAGCCTCAGCATGGAGACTGGAGATAAATGTCCAATGGAGGGAGATCACGTGACTGCTGTTTTCCTCTTTTGTCTATTTTCATAGGGATCTTGAAGTCTGGTCAAAAACAAATTAAAATCTTAGATCTCCAAACCAGCTCTCATCTTAATTTCTCCACAGCCCAGCAGGGCCAGAAAACCAATTCAGGCACGTCAAGGGGAGACAAGGATCGCCAACCCACATTTCACTCCCTTTAAAAGTCTGCACAGGGACAGTTTTGACAATCTTGATAAATTTTTGATATGCCTCTGATGTTTTTAATACTGCATGAGCTTTTTTCAAAGAATTCCCCTCAACTCTTTCTCCAAATGCCATTTCCTGTGAACGATAAGGAACAGAAACACTTTCAAAGTAAGTTTTCCAGACAATTACACTTGCAGAAAAGCAATTAAAACCCAGGAACAACGTACACATGCGATCATGTGAAACACAGCCTTAATGCTGCTTGCTGAAGATGTTTCCAGTGCTGTTACCTTTATTATATAAATTACAGCTGTGTTCCGCAATGAGATACGTTGGAGAAGTGTTTACAGATAACTCTTAATGCGGCTAAATTTACTACAATGTCTCATAATTAGGCTTTTAATTAAATTCGGCACAGGTAACTGCTCTGCAGTATACATGTTAAAATTACAAACCTCGTCCAGGTCCAAGCGCCCTATAGCAATAACTATTTTGGGGTCTCCCATTACCTGAAACAAAAAGTTACAGCAATACGCAATCAGAAATTACTCTGGGCCTCAATGAAATCAAAGTAGGCCCGGGAAAAACTACCTACAGTGTTGAAACCAGCCCTTTTACAGTTTCTGAGATCCTGATGCTTATTTATTTTTTGAGAGTGTAAAACATTTACATCAAAAAATCACAGCATGAATGTGTACTAATGAATTCCATTTATATTAAGAATTTTTTAATACTTAAATTAATCCCTGGATTCCTGTTTATATGACTGATCTATTCCTCATTTTCAAGTAAATGGTGTAGGTAATATTAGCTATGTTACCAAAGAAATACCTAAGACTTAGTGAACCAGACAATAAAAATCAAAGCTAAGATCAGACCATATTTTTTGGAAGATTAGTACCATTTTAAGCCTAAAATTGCATATTACGGTCTTTTGGGGATTTTTTGTGTGTGAGGAAGATTGACCCTGAGCTACCATCTGTGCCAGTCTTCCTGTATTTTGTATGTGGGATGCCACCACTTCATGGCTTGATGGGCAGTGTCTAGGTCCATGCCTGGGATTTGAACCCATGAACCCCAGGCTGCCAAAGTGGAGCATGCAAATTTAACTACTACACCACTGGGCCAGCCCCTATTATGTACTTTTAAGTGTGTTATTTTCCAAGCCATCATAGTAAAAATTATACATATTTTCTTTTTTTTGAGAGAGACTAGCCCTGAGCTAACATGTGTGCCAATCTTCCTCTGTTTTATATGTGGGAAGCCTGCCACAGCATGGCTTGATGAGTGATGTGTAGGTCTATGCCCAGGATTCGAACCCATGAACCCTAGGCCTCTGAAGTGGAGTATGCGAATTAACCACTACACCACTGGGCTGGGCCCAGTACATATTTTCCTAATGAAGAGAAATTGCTGAAAATATTTTGGGATGAAGTTGAATATCGATTGAGTTGATTAATTATAAATACTGATGCCACCTTCTTAACTTCCTTATTATAAAGGAGTTCATGCCTTAAATTAAAAAGATCTGTTTACAACTTGGGTAAGGTAAACTCTCATATTTGAAAGATATTTAAGAGGAAAAAGAAATTCCCAGAACAACAAATTGGTGTACACATGTCTTTTTTTCTAGAATGTTAATGGTTAAATATCAAAGTCAGCTCATAATTTAAAACTTGTACATTTTTTATTACTTCAACTCATGCTTTATTAATTTCTTTTCTCTTTTCTTGTTAAAATATTAATGAAGTCTTAGATTCACCTGCGAAGAGTGAATTCATCACTCTTGGTTTGCATTTTGGAGAACACAGAGCTCATTCTAATTCTCAGCAAACAAATCATGGGGGAACAGGCAAGAAAAACAAAAGCGTGAAATTCTCCTAAAAGAAAATATACCTTGTTTCTGTAAAGTCATTCCATGATCACAGATGATTCCTAGGATTTTTCAAAATCAAAACCATCGTATTGGCTTTTATATTACTGAGATTAAGCATTCAGGAATTTGAAGTTAAGAACTAATAGTTAATTTGATTTACTTCAATGGAAAAGTGACTGCATTGATTTTCATGAAGAATACAGAATCTTATATTCTGCTACTGAAATATACCTTAGTTTTGTCCCAATAGATCAATAACTATCAAATTAATCATTTATCTTTTTTTCTTTTGAGGAAGATTAGCCCTGAGCTAACTACTGCCAGTCCTCCTCTTTTTTGCTGAGGAAGCCTGGCCCTGAGCTAACATCCACGTCCATCTTCCTCTTCTTTATACGTGGGATGCCTACCACAGCACGGCTTTTGCCAAGTGGTGCCATGTCCACACCTGGGATCCAAACTGGCAAAGCCCGGGCCACTGAGAAGCAGAACATGTGAACTTAACCGCTGTGCCACCTGGCCGGCCCCAATCACCAATTAATTTTTAAGTGAGGTATTATAAAATAATATTTTTGCATTATATACATGCTTTAAGTTCTTTCCCTTGTTTTTCTCACACGGTGAGAATCTTTCTTAAGTAGGGTTTGAAAGCGGCAATGGTTTGTGCCGTGCTAGTTTAATTCACTCCCCAGATGTTAATGTGATTAAATTAAAAGAAAGACTGGTGAATTTCAGAGAGGATGGACGTCACAGGAAGAGAAGCAGAGCATCGTGGAATAGAACATGCACCTCCGCTCCACTTCATCCCACTTCATTCTTCCTAAGTTATAAAGCTGTAATACAACGAATCTATGGTATCTGTTTAATAAACATTACTAAGTTTTCAAGGGTGCTTGTTGTGAATAAGGACAAAAATCACCAGTTTATGAAGGTTTTCTTCCACTCTATTGCCTCAGAAAGAGGCTTCTGGCTTTCACCTCTTGCTTTCTGTCAGCTTCTTCACGTATTTAAAGAAAGAGTTGAGTTTGTCAGATTCATTTGTCTTGAGTGGGCACAAGAGCATCACAGCGCTGGGGGTGGGGGGCAGGCGGGCAGCAAAAGGATCAGACACAGGCATTAGGGCTGCCGGGGTGGGGCGGGGGTGTGAAAAAATAAATTTTGCAGAGTGTCCAGAAGAACTACAACGAAAGAGGAGAGTTCTGACAGGAGAATAGAGAGATTTCAAGTATTGCTAAGGACTGTGTGTTCTCTTCTTGTTCACCAAGAACTATAATTAAAGAGCAACGTGTTTTGAAACTACTTTTTGCTTTATGTACTGTGGTTTCTCCCACAGCCTTTCAACTAGAACACGGAGAACGTACTTTAAAAAGCTTAGTTTCTGTTGGTTTACTTATTGGTATAAAAAACTTACTACAGTAACTTAGAATTATCAATTGAGATAAAACAACACTTTCTGTTGAAGTGTTCGCACAATTTTCTACAACTTTCAATGATTTTCTTTTATATGTGTAACTTTAGATTGGAATACTTCAAATTTACTTTGGTATATTACAAAATTAACACACTTTCCTCCCACCCCTGTATGCAAGCCCCTTTTCAATATCTCTCCTTCTCTTCCCAGTGGGGTGGAGTATATTTCTTCAAACCTTATCTTGCCTGTGAGATTTGCTTTAGGAAATGGCATATCAGCAAATGTAAGGCAAGCAGAAGTTTGAAAAGTTTGTCATCTCTTGCTGCTGGGAACTTTCCACCATGACTAGCCTACTGAAGGAACAGAAACGCAGTGTGGAGCAGCCCCAGCCTTCCCAACCATCCAGCTAAGGCCCACACACCTGAGCGAGGCCATCCTGGGCCTCTGCCCCAGCCAAACTTGCCCAGGTCAGAACTGCCCAAGAAATCCGCAAAGTCGCAAGCAGATAAATAACTGCTTGAAGCAACTAAGTTTTGGGGGGCAGTTTCTTATGCAGCACAAGCTAACTGATGCACTTACTTCCTTTTTATCTTTATTAAAGATGGCTTAACATGTGCTCTCAGAGGAGTGCCCCAGGAAGCATGTGAGCCAAGGGAAAATTTATCCCCACCTTTACATTTTCTTCTTTATCTCAGAAACTTAATCCAGTCATGGATAACAGAGGTACTACCATCTTGACAACAAGAATAGAGGACACGCCACGTTCTCAAGTCCTTAAAACCCAAGCAACACGAGTACCTGATGGTCTTTCCCTGGTCTGCCTCTATGATCCACGTGCAGTGGAGGTTGTTGTCGTAGGGGGCTGGGTAGCCAGGAGACAGGATGCGCCCTGAAGTGGCCGCGTGGATCTGACCACCACACTCAGCTGCAAGAGGGACAGAGACAGCAGGAAGTTTACTCCAGGTGCCATGGGTCTCTGTGTAACTACTTTAAAAATAAAAACCATCATGTCTGCGCTATATACACAGGAAAAAAATCACACACATCTATCTGCCTCCATCATTTCTTTCCTTCACTTGTTCCCTGATGGAAGGGCGTTATTGTCTATGTAACTAAAGCTGAGAGTATAAAACAACAAAACTCTCGTGTTATTATTCTAATAATAATTCTGTGCCTATAGTCTCAATAAAATAGAACTAGGAAATCTGCCTTTCAGACCTGAAAAAAATAACACACACACATCTTAGGAATACGTAAAAACCCACGATGGAGAGAGCGTGGTAGAAATCCTACCCTTTTCCAGAAAAATTCAGCCCAGAGCCATGGAGCTCAGGCTCTCGGGCATGAATGATGCTGCACAGTAATCGAAGCCACTTCCCAACTCACCTACACAGGAAGGCAGTGGCTTGTCCCACACCCTCCGGTCGCCGCTCAGACAGGTCAGCGTGTTGCTGCCGTGCATGGCGTACCCTGGGTTACAACTGTACAGGACCATAGTGTCAGTGAAGTGGCCTTCATCGCGGATCCTGTAGCCATAGTTAGGGATTCCGGGGTCCTCACATTTTACAAGGTCGAAACCTAAGAGAAAGGAGGGGAAAGAATGAGCAGAAGTAACAGCAGAATGTGTGCTAGTGTCAAAATCACAATGAAATAGACTAGGCTGGCAAAGGGTCCTTGAAGTGTAGGAAAGAAACAAAGATTGCGTTATAAAAAGGGGAAAACAAATGTGGGTCTTGATTGGGTTTATTTGTCAACTATTTATCGTTTATTGAGGTTTGATCACTTTACTGGTTCTGATCTATTTATATTTTTAAGGGGAATCTTTGTTCCAAAGAGAATTGTCATCTGCTGAGCTGTGTCTCCAGCCAGCATGCGGGATTCTCCAGGAAGCCTCAAAGCTTCCGTGGACTAAACTGTAAGCCTGTGCTGTCTCCATGGTTCCTCTCTGTCACCGCTGGGCACCTTCCAGAAGGAGAGGTCACCCATCAATGCCAACAGGGTACTTTTCAGGGTCTCTATCAGCAGAGCTCACTTGAGCCCATCGTCAAGAACCACCCACCTTCATGCCAACTTCCTCTAAGACTCCAAGATCATAAGCTTCATGGGACATTAAGAAGTTGTTCCTGCTCACAGAAGACAGGGGCTGGTGCGTTACCCCCTGCCACCCTCCTGCGGCACACAGTTAGGAGGCTCCTGAGTAACTCCACACACAGCACAAACTCCAAGAATGAATCATCACAATGACTTCGTCAACCCCAGCTCTTAAGCTCAAAGAAATAGATGATGGAAATGAAGATTTAGCTTCTGCAGGATGGAGAGCTGTATGCTGCTTTGACGGGAGGCAATATTTTAAGGCCATCTGTGAAGGAAGTCCTACACTAACATATTTCTCTCTTTGCATCACAATGCAAATATTGACCATTTAAAAAAGTAGAACTGGGTACTAGCGGTGCCACCTGGGCTGTTTACATCTCTTTCCACCGGACTTTGACTTCTTCCCTTTCTTAAAATAGATACTGAATGTCTGAATTTTGCTAAGTCTGCCTGTCAAACTTGCACTTTGAGATGGCTTCCATTGAGGAAAATAAATCCTTAAGTTCACAGTACCACGTAACCCTGATGATCGCAACATAATCCAGATGGAGTTCTGCAACTTTGTACAGGGAGAGAAAAGAGCACATATTTGATAATTTATACTCAGCTGCTAAGAAAAGTTTCATTCTTACAAGTTTCTATCTACCAAGTATAGGTCTTTATGAACTGTGACTTACAATAACTCTGATCTATTTAAGAAATGTAAATAATTTTAATTCAAGATGGCCAGAAGGAAAGAACACAAAACTATATCAATTCTTGTGGCTGGCCCCATGGAGCAGCGGTTGGGTTTAGTGAGCTCCACTCCAGCAGCCTGTATTTGCAGGTTCAGATCCCAGGCACAGACCTACACCACTCATCAGCCATGCTGGGGCAGCAACTCACATATAAAGTGGAGGAAGACTGGCACAGATGTTGGCTCAGGGCTAATCTTCCTCAGCAAAAAAAAAAAAAATATATCAATTCTAGTGCAAAACAAAATGATATTTTAAATCACCACAAATGGGAAGTCAGAATTAAGAGAAAGGACCCCACTTACACATAGTTTCAGGACTCGGGGGAATATTTGACTTCCCTAGCCTGACCACATGCTGCCAAGACCGTAGGGGAAACAGTCAGAATGAAGTTGTTGAATTCATGTATGACAAACAACTGTGGTCACACGCCTTGCAAAACGCCTTACAGATTATTTAGCCTTAGCTTCTCCTTTTACAGGAGAAAAATGAAACTGAAGCCTTTGTTGTTCTTGTTTTACTTGGTTTTGGGGTTGGAAGGGAGAGCCTCTGAGCAGTGTCTTAAAGCACAGGAACAGGGAGCACACCCACTGACCCAGCCCAGGATGACCAGCGAGGTGTCGATGGTTTTCACTGGCCACACTTGGAGTACGGCTCCACTAACAATAATAAACAGTGATTCAAAATGTTTCACTATTCTGAATTCAAATTAGGTATCTGAATATCAAATGCCAGTGTAACATAAAATTGGAAACATGCAGTAGACAAACAAAATCCAGGTGTAAAAATTCTGAACAGGGGCCAGTCCCGTGGCCAAGTGGTTGGGTTTGTGCACTCTGCTTCCATGGCCCAGGGTTTCTCCAGTTCAGATCCTGGGCGTGGACCTAGCACCAATCATCAGGCCATGCTGAGGTGGCATCCCACATAGCACAACCAGAAGGACCTACAACTAAAAATATACATCTATGTACTACTGGGGGGCTTTGGGAAGAAGAAGAAGAAAAAAAAAAGAAGATTGGCTACAGATGTTAGCTCAGGTGCCAATTAAAAAAAAAAAAATGAACAAAAGAGTCAACATCCGTCCCCATTGTTTGGACCGTTAGAACCAGATCCTGGTAAACTAAACATCTGTAGGAGAGATGACCGCCTCAAATGCTAACAGGGCCATGTGTGGCCATCACTGAAGAGCGAGGCCTGTGCATGACAGCTGCCCAGTGATGACCTGCTGTCCTGCTGAAATTCATACTGTGTGTGATCCCAGTTTCCCATTTTTTAAGGAGCACCAGAAATCTGGATTTTTCTTTCTTTTTATTTTTTTGAGGAAGATTAGCCCTGAGCTAACTGCTGCCAATCCTCCTCTGTTGCTGAGGAAGACTGGCCCTGAGCCAACATCCATGCCCATCTTCCTCTACTTTATATGTGGGATGCCTGCTACAGCATGGCTTGGTAAGCAGTGCCACGTCCACACCTGGGATCCGAACTGGCAAACCCCAGCCGCCAAAGCAGAAGGTGCGCACTGTGCCACTGGGCCAGCCCCTGGATGTTTTAATTTTATAAAAGTACTTGTTGAATGAATAAATATTTAAAAAGTGGAGAGTTTTAAATATAAAAGTGGAGATTAGGTTGTTAAAGCTTGATGTAAACAACACTGAAAGAATTAGATGATTTATCTGCATTTAGCAGAGGTGGTAATGAGACTTAGGATGGGGAAAAGCTGGCCTATTCCACCTGATTCTCATAAACGAAGCTCTGAAACGCACATGGCTGCTGAGGACGGTGAGGGCCTGGACGAAGAAATGGTCCAGCCAACACGTCCAAGACCTTTCATGCTGGCGATAAGTTATTTCCTGGTTACACAGAAGACTTTTGTCATAAAAGATTGTCCTCGCTGGAGATTGATGGCTGTGTTGATAAAGCAACGGCATTGATTTTCCTGTGTCACTTATGCACAGCCTCATTAGCTCATAGTCATCGGCTCCACAGATGGCTCAGGGATATTAATGCTTAGGTGTTCTTCAGATCATCCCTCTTTGTTCAAAGGGCATTGCTTTTAAGGTCTTCAATGTAATACATAACCCAAGTTCTAAAATCCAAAAATACATGTATATTAAACGTAGCTTTGAAGAAACATCTTCCTTTGCCTCAAAACTTGCACTAAAACCTTTTCAGAAGAAGGATTAAAAAACAAGCTGGGGCTAGCTGTAGTGGTTAAATTCATGCACTCTGCTTTGGTGGCCCTGGGTTCACAGTTTTGGATCTTGAGTGTGGTCCTACACACCGCTCTTTAAGCCACGCTCTGACAGCGTCCCACATACAAAATAGAGGAAGACTGGCACAGATGTTAGCTCAGTGACAATCTTCCTCAAGCAAAATGAGGAAGATTGGCAACAGACATTAGCTCAGGGCCAATCTTCCTTACCAAAAAAGTAAATAAATAAATTTAAAAAAATAAAAAACAAACAAGCAAACAAATAGAGAAGCACCAACAAAAATGTGTACTAAACCTTATTTGGCTTGAATTTCTTAGAGAAATATCTGTCTAATTGATTTTTCTATCACTCAGTCTCAAAAGCTGTCTTTTTTTTAACAGTATCATGTCATGAAGACGAGTTAAGCCAAGTTATTTATGATAGACTAGTTACTCTTTCCACTACAGCTGTGCTTTTTTTCTTGTGATGCCTTCTATTGTTTTTTCAAAAGATCATTTAAATCCTCGATGGCATTATGAAATTTATTAGTATTCTGTAAAAGTCCTACCCTTGATTTCTAAGTTTCTGAAGCCCCGAGGCCTACCCAATGCCATTATCTGAAATGTATTCTCCTTCCCTGTCAGAAAGCTGAAAAGTGTTTGGATGTTCCAGAATTCAGTTTTCCAAATTTCAATCCACTGAGGAGAGCTTTGTTCGCTCAAAGCTTCTCACATGATTTAATAATTCATACACAGTTACAGGTGGATCATAGACGCTTGTACCCAGAGGAAGCATTGAAAGTAGCATTGACCAACATCTTGAAAGGACTAGGGAAACATCTCTAGAAACCCAAGATTTCTCTTCCAATTTGACTCTTGGACTCTCAGTCTCTCCACGTGCACCAGATATGTAACCCACTCTGCTGTTTCTCTCCCCACAAATTGATGAGATTCATTTCAGTTGAGTTTTGCTCGCTATGTGGTTAAGGAGGAATATTATCCGTGTCTCCTAAAAGTTTCCACACTGCTTTTAAACATTGGTAAAATAAGTTGAACTGATGGATAACAGCAGAATTTTGAAATGGCAGTATAAAATTCTATGATGTTGATTCTACGTCTATTTCAGGAATGCATTTTCCTACAGTTTATTAAAAATATCTCCAAAACTCGTAACATTTTATACTTAGATCTACAAAGATATTCCTCAAAGAAGAGGTATTTCCATTTAATTTAAATCTAAAAGACTTTAGAATAATCAGTCTTAGGATTGCTAAAGAATGATGACTTAAAAACATAGAGAGGTTACCCTTTTCTATCTTAAAGCCAACAGCCTGCAAGTAATCAGTGTGCAAATACTGACTCTATATTTTCTTTATGCTATAGAACCTTTAAAAAAGATTAAATCGAGTTATTTGTATCAATGTATTAGCCATTAAGAGTTGCAATTATTGCTTGACTCTATTCAGTAATTCCATTTCTTTCTGGTTTTCAGTTATTCCTGCTTAAGTCATATAAGCAGCAAAGATACTTTCAACAAATGTCAGGCTGATGAAAATTATTAC